GAGACTGGTTTCCTAGATTTTATTGAAAAGCGTCAGCATGGTTTCCTTGGAATTTGGTCCCATTCTAATTAGAAATTCCGGATGAATACCGTCTTCGCCAATAGATTTTTTGCACTTGAGCTGTTTTATCATAGCATTAAGTTCGCAAGGTCTGAATGGTTCAGTAAGTACATTATTTGGTGTCGCTATGTCTTCCTTAATTTCACCAAACTGTCTAGCTTCTAACGTTTAATCTCTTGAGGATTTTCTGACAAAAGGGTTTTCTTTTGCTTGTGGGAATAGAACCTCGCAAAGTAGTTAGCTATTTCGGAGTCGGTGGTAAGCAGTTTGTTTTTTAAACGTATTGGTTCTTTCCAGGGTCTTTCTCTGTTGTTTTGGAAGTTACCCAGGAATTTGAAAGTGCGTTGACTATCACTTTGATAGTTGATATTTGAGATGAACTTGTCGATGGAAATCCGTTTAGCTTGTAAGATGACTTGTCTTAGGACAGATGATTGTCGTCTCCAGGCTTGTACGTCTTCCGTTCTTACAGTCTGATCAGCAGTGTTGCATAGGGCGTCCCGCTTTCTTTTCAGTTCCTCTAGGTGATTAGACCTAAACACTCGATAGTGCTTAGTCTTGTCACGGGGGATGGTTTTCTTTGCACATCTGATCATAATATTCGTTATATCATTGCAAAGTTTGTCAGGATGTTGGTTGGAGTTGAGGGGACTTGTGTGAAGTTCATTGTCTAAAAGGTTTGTGAATCTGGGCCAATCAGTCTTCTTGAAGTTCCGTGGTAGCTTAGTTGGCACTTTCCATGTCATGCTTTTGCTGCCGATGGTAATACTAGCAATGACTGGTTTGTGACCAGAACCAGGATCGTCAATTATTTTGCGGCGTGTAAGCTCGCTGATGTCGCTTGAAGCCAGGAGTAAGTTAGGAGTTGTTCTGGTTCCATTGTAGTGCAAATATGTAGCCGGATCCTCATTGATGTAAATAAGTTCCAGAGGGTTGCTGTTTAGCATGTCTTCGATTTCCTTTCCAGCTATGTTTGTATCCTTGTAGCCCCATCTGGTGGAATGGGCGTTGAAGTCTCCTAATACTATAGTTTTGTGTGAGATGTTCAGAAAGTCAAAGTTGGGACAATTCTGGGGTGGATTATAAATTGCATATACCTTGAAGTGGTTTTGACATTTCCAAACATTTAATCTGATTATTTCGCATATGTCTTGTGTCGAGCCCATACTCTTGATTAGATCGTAATGTTAGGTGAGGCCTTCTTTAACTCCAGTCAGAATTCCACTTGCAACTTGCCGGTATTTAGGTAGAGGGTACAGGGTGTAACCTGGGAATTGGTAGTACTTCAGTTTGTCACCCGAAATGTTTGTTTCCATAATTGTGAAAATGTCTACATCATAGGTTTGTAGGATTCTCTGGACTTAGATCTTTTTGTCCTGTGACATCCCTCCAGCATTCCACTGAAGGATCTGAAGACGTTGTGATTCGCCCTGACGAGGGCGATTTCTCTTATAGCCTTTTTTCAAGCTAATCATAATAAATCGAAGTCAAATCAAATGTCGAGTGATAGACTTGTTTGCCGTACAAAGATACGTAGTCCAGGGTGCATCACGTGGAGGTAAGTCTATCGTGCACCCCGTGTGTGAAAATATGTAGCCAAAAGACCAGCCATCTGCCTTGACGTTAGCGCCTCCAATGGAGGTGAGAAATCAGGCCATAAGTCCAACTTTATCATTTAGACACGATCACATCAAACACTGCGGTGTATGTGTGTGTGAGTAAAATTAAGCGTCCAATCAGGCGGAGGCTTGCAGAGACTGCAACCTTAGACTAGAGAAGGAAGGAAAGCAAAGAAGGGAGAAGAGGAGCAGGCGGCGGTGGTGGTGGCGGCGGCGGAATAAAAACACTGAGTCACGTGGATGACACATGGTAGGCGCGGGAGAGACCACTGAGAACACATGGAGAACACAATCAGTGAACACCAACGTGACAAATAGAAATTAGGCACGTGTAGAAGGTGCTCCCATACGAAGGAAAAATACAGTAAGAGCAAACGCTTGAATAGTGCTTGCAGGCTCGCAATTTGACAAAACTAAGCGGAAAGCAAGTTGCATGACGCAGCAAATTAGAGGTACTCAGAATTTGAGAAATATTGAACTTAGGGCGTGTAGAAACTAATTTAATGGCTATTAAGATATTGAGAAATGCACTTTAAAACTAATCCACGGTTCTCGATATTGCCAAATCGCTCACAATAATACATGAGTCAATGAATTAAAATCCGCCCAATATTCAGAAACAAGTATCACAGCGCTTGACGATAACAGGTTATATGCATCATAATAACCTCTCACTTGTCTTTAAAAACCTCTATCTACCCAACAGGACTCAAATAGAGTGACCAGACACACACAGCGGCGGTGATGAGGTCATCCACATCGCTGGATTCACAACAGTGCCCATTTACCTCTCGGCTTCTGGTTGAAGGGATACATGAACTGCTGTGTCCATTCATCACCATTTCCGACTCGAATGAACTGTATGATTTCTGAGATAAGTTCCGTACCAAGTTGACCACTTTTGAAACTGCTAGAACTAATTCTCATACAAATATCATGTGTCTAAGAATTGAAAACGATTTGAAAAGAGTATATCTAATGCCAATAGAAAGTGAATTGTATTAATCAATCGTAAAAAGCTAATAATACTCACTACACGTTTTGCAGACCTTAAAAGCATTATCAATGTGCAAGACTCGATCAGAATACTAAACGTCGGTTTGGTAGGAAGAAGATATGCTTAAACAAATGAGAGACATAATTTGCTTTAATCTCGTTTAAGTTAATAAAGTATTGCCATAATTGAATAGATACTGGATATAGTAGGACTATTTATAGATAAAATCACCTTAATAATTTAGAGATTTCAGTCTATTGGGCAATTTATAGCGTGCAATTGATAATCTCGTTACAATAGATGGCGAAATCTCTCCAGAGTTGCGTCAAGAAATTAGAGAGATAGAAGCATAATAGAATAGACAGATGGATGGACGGATGGATGGATGAAAGGCAAGATTACCATATCACACTCCAAGTAAGAACTAAGGATTTTTTTTCGCGACAGAGACATTTAAGGAGAGACAAGATAAAACATCAAATGTTCACATAAACCATCAGTTTGCATGAACTAACTGGGCAGAAAATCGCCCAAACCCCCCCCCCCCACCCACTCCAGCTAAAGCTCTGAATAAGAACGCATAGCTGGCAAGACTCTTAACATCACCTATTGCCAATAATTAAATAAATGATAGTCAATAACAGCCATTAAGTGATCCCGAGCAAGCAACTTAGGCTACACATTTATGGATATTGGCCCACTTCTTCACGCTCTTGATTTTAAGTCGAAAATTTGATTTTTTCTTGGTAGTTGGTTGGTCTATTTCCATTAAATCTACATAGCAATCAGTGTTATATTACCCATCATTTCTAGTTCCAGTGACCACGTTGGTCCTAACAACCCAAATAGACAAGGAAAAAGGCGACAATCCCAGAAGAAGGCTCATGCCAAAACATGATCATTAAAGCACCCTGTTTCATGCAAATTGGGTTATGGTATTAACTGGAATGCCAATTAAGCAGCAACATAGTGTGAAACGACTTCATTACCAATTAGGAGCAAGAGAGAACAGTAATTGGGAAACCCAGTGATTAAGGAACAAATTCAGCAAGCAAAATGGTACAAATGTCACTCAGAACACCTACACTGCTCCATCCCACTTCATACAACTATTCCACTGGCTCCACAACCGTTCACTCAGAAATGTCTCCTCGAAGGCTCAAGAATTTTAGAGCACTTAGTCTTTCGTCCAGTTAGCGAAACAAAAAATTTTTATATTAGAGGAAATAAGACCCTCCGACCTCTAAAGGAAATAAAGAAAATCGGGAACAATTTTCCAAACGAACTCTGGCGTAAGTAATGAGGCTACTGACATAAATTCCGAAAATAGATGAAAAAAGACGTCGCCTACCTTTTCTTGATGAGCTTTTGTGCGGGGGCCATGTCAATAGGTCGAGGCGCTGTTGTTAGTTGACCCAGGAAGGGCAAAGGTCGAGGAATATTGACTTGAGGTCCATTTTCACTAGATAGCGAGGGAGGCACCGGATTGCCAAACGGCTGGCCGGGTCGTCCCTCCGAGTCGTAGGGAAGAACTCTCAACCGAACCATATGTCCCAGGTGCTCGGGTTGTGGAGTGAATATGTAGCCCTCGTGAACAATTCCACCCCCTTCCTCCTCCTCACTTGGCCATATGGCTTCCTTTTCTGAATTCGCTTTGTTCTGAAATAGTGAGATGTAAAACAGACGTGTGGTGGTTGCATGTTGAAGCTAAAATTCAAAACTGGAACACACGATCTATTTATTCCATTCTCTTAGTACGTTAACATGACACACACACACACACACACGCACACGCACACACACACACACACACACACACACACACACACACACACACACACACACACACACACACACACACACACACACAGAGAGAGAGAGAGAGATAGATGAGGATAGTCCTAAGGGTTTACATTTAAAAATTTGCGCAATTATCAACCCATTGTGTCCTAGGACCGATAAAAAGACTGCCAAGAGCAGACATGTAAAACTCAATGTCACGAGTCTTATACCTGACGAAAAAAAATTGTCAGGACATCAAAAATCGTTCGGTTTTATTTGATCTGCCATGACTGAAATAGCCAACAATGCGAAAGTTTGAGGCAAAAAAATGCTATGCTTTCATAATTTGATTAAAATCAGTGTCCTTTCGGAGCAAGTCCCTACGCAGATCTTCGCTTTCCAATTTACACCTGCATTGTTAATAAAGATATGCGTGGTTGAAACGCCCGGTATCAGAATGTCATCTTCAACAATGGTATCAGATTGCAAGCGAGGCACATTGTTTTGCTTAGAAGAGTGTCAGAGAAGTAAAAATAGCAAGTGCCATAACCATATATCGGCTCATCTAAAGAGTGCACTATCTGTAACGCAAATTCTTCAATTTGATCTCATGTAGAGTTCTCTTAATGTAACTGTAACGGTTTCAAGTTGAAATTTACGCCAATGCGCCCCATTTCTACTCATTTCACAGGCCCGGACAAAGGTCATGGCGCTCGCTATGCACTCAAACGATCGAAAAGAATGTGAGTTCGCCAGAAAGGTAGCGTACTTTTGAGCTTTCACCAAGAGGCAGTAAAGTTGCACCCCCCCCCCCCAGCCCCACAGATGAACATCGAGTCCATTAAGAAGTGGTTACAATTCGACATGACTGGAGAGGAGGCATCGTGGAGAAGCTCTGATGAAGACCACATTCTACCAACCCACTGCGTGACTAGAATTAATCAGTTCTGCACCATTGAATGTGAATTCCTTGTTGTGCACTTTTGACGTAGTGGCCATTGCGCTCGCCTGCAACTGAGAAGTAGGTCGCGAAAACAGATATCATCAAGCCGCACCCAGTGATGTGGAATGGTCAAATCTTAAAGTACTTCTGAGGAAGAACAGGGAAAGCGATGGTGCCTTACGAAAAAGTTATTCACTTTTCTCCTTCATGTGCGCAAAAAAATATGAATAAATGGCATCAAGAGAACGAAATACGACCATGACGCACGCATTTTATGGCTTCGGTAGTAAAGTAGCTTTGCACGAATGAGGAAATAGCCAGGGGGAAGGAAAGTGGTAGCATGCGTTCGTTAATATGATGGTCGTGCATTTCGGCCAAAGTAGAGGCCACACAGCATTGAGAAAATCTGGTCAACAAGGGGAGAGAGGTAGAATACGAGGCTCGCGCATGAGAGCAGCTCCATGACACCTTCCTCCTACTCAACAAACTCAGTGTTATTAGCGTTCCAGCAGAACCCTTCTTCCACCTCTATACAAACTTCTATCGCCAATAAAGCAACCAGTAATTTGGGGAGAAAAAAACGATTTTGAATGGGTTAATTTGGTATGCCCAATAAGTATTTGGTTCACACGTAAATCTAATACCATCCGCATTTCATTCCTTTGTTCGACATGATGGCAATATTTTTGTAAACAATTAGGTAGTATTCGCTTTTTTTACCTATCCACTGTTCAGACACATCCGTATTTCAGGTTTTTCCCCTATTTTAGACAGCGTTGAAATGCGAATTGGGGAGGAGGAGAGATGGAAGTAGGGGAAAGGACCATCACTGGACCATAAAGAACAGTTTGTCCGCAGCGGGTGCGTGTTTATTTTTTAGGACGCTAGTTCGCTAATGAAAGTCTACTCTTGCAGCAAAGCACGTGTGTGTGCGCGTGTGTGTATGTGTGTGAATAACCTTCACCATGCAAGGTCAAAGAGACAACGCGGAAAATTGATTGGACACACAGGCACATGGACAGACCATAAAACTTGGGAAGTCGAGGTAGGACAGAGAGGAAGAGGGGAGGAGGTGGGGAAGGGGGGGGGGTAGACGAGAAAACGAGCAAACGGGCAACACCATAAGGACACGCTTTAAGGTTAAGGCACTACATCAAGGTCGAAGCGATTTCATCATTCCACTATCAACCTTGAAGCTTGAGGCATAGGAGTTTATGGGGCTTCTAAATGCGTACATGGTTAGTTTTCGAGAGGGCGAGAGAGAGATAACCCCACCTTCTATTCTCAATGCACATGCATATCCTTCAATCACATGCACCCATTGCGAGTACACTTCAACTTCACACACGGTATATCATAACACGTGAACGCCGTAACTACCGACGCAGTGTAAACGCAAAATGCACAACGCAGCTGGCTCGAATAAGCGAGAAGCTATACAGAGCTAATGCAGATGAAGGTGACTGATGGTGACGATTAGTGCACTCCACAGCATTGAGAATCAAATAACTAATAGTGGATGACTGTCACCATTTCAGAACTACTGCCAGATTATGAGGAGTACATGGAAAGCCTAACAAAATAAAGGCCCGGTACTTTCAACGTTAAAGTAACTATTAGTAGAGTAGAACAGTTTACCTCGACAGCAGAGTACATCTGGGGCATACGCGGTGTCCTGAATTTAAGTCAAAAGGCGAAAAGACTGTAGCAAATGGAATGGGAAACCGCTCAAGTGTGTTAAGGAGATCGGAAAAAAAACGATCAGCAACAATGCTAGCCTATAGATTTGAATAATCCAAATTAACGAACGCTTTTCCCCCCTTAAGTGCTCGCGAAGCTTAGCACGACAACAAAGAACAAATAACTGGAAAATGCCGCCACTTGGCGAGCTCTAAACACCAAAATTATAAGGCATACAATAATGTTAACCACAAACACGTCGTTCGAGTATAATGGTAGTGATGGATTAGTACCGAAGTAAACACGCAAATCGAAGAAAAGATCTGTCATGCAAAGCTCAAGGCAGCAGGTTCAATACTTCAGTTATGGGGGTGTGCAATAGACCAAATTATTAGGATATAGTGAAAATAGGATTCGATGGAGGGAAAAATTCATTTTGGTACGGAGAGTGTATGATTGATTACTCATAATAAAAGTAAAATTTGAGTAAGAAACTTGGGAACTCAATCCAGTACATATAAAAACCAACTCAAGGAATTCAAGTTGGAATACAATAGCAGTTCGGCATGGATAACCAATCCCAAAACATTCAACTAGTTTCTCCTATCTGCAGAAGATAAATTTAACCTCGAATTCTACGGACCATGTAATCTAAAACTACATACACCACCTCTCAAAAACGTTAATACTCACCTTAGACAAAATCCATTGAAATTTTGACTTTTTGAAGTCAAAATTTGTGGCAACAATAGACGGAGTAATTGGGCAGCCAACCTGTGGAATCATCTCTAACTTAACACTTTTCACCGAAGCCGGATTCAACACCATATCGAGGATCAAGTCTCTTGGAATGTCTGCTTCAATACCAATCATTATTCGGAGAGGAGAGGGGGAAGCGAAGATGGTCTCCAATCTATCATCAGGATTCAATTGAGGATTAGCAAGGACCACTTTGGTAATTTTTAAGTGCTTAGAACGACTCTCGTTAGAAGCTTTCAACGATTTTTCAAAGTACTTGTTCAGACATTGAAGCATCCGGGTTTCAAAATCGGTAAAAGGTTCGCTTCCTGCCTGGCGAACTGTGAAAATTCGGCCAGGCTTAGAGATATCCAGATTGAGAGAGTGTTTGGGATAAAATGGCAAGTTGAAGGAGAACTGATTCTTCTCCCCATCTCGAGTAACAAAAAGACACATCGGATGGTCGAGTCTGATATCTTCTAAGGGTGACATTCCACGTAAAAATTTCACAATAGGACGACAAAAGCGAAATACCTGCGTGGGGGTAAATAGACGTCAAATAAATGAGAAATTTGATAAACACTACACATAGCTATGCAAAAGTTCCTCTTTCTGACATGTCTATCAATTACCGAGCCTAGAAGCAAGCTGTATCGACGAATGATTACAAGTTGATTGAGTTAAACGCACAGGTACGCAGGTAAGTAGGAATCACTGAGCTGACGATTTAGAATTTTTTCAACCGCTGTGTGAACGGCGATCGTAGCACATTTGCCGGATAAAATAGCACTTTCCTTAAGCCTAAGCTCAGTTAGGAAGGCGTTTACCAATACTCATTTAGTTGATAGGAGTTCTGCAACCCCTTATTAGCCAGTGTGACTAGACTTTCAGCTCACTAAATGTGAACTAACGCACATTAACCCTGTAACCTCTGACTTCACTGCTCCACTAGAAAAGTCGGCCTTATGCCCACTCACGTCAATTCACACATTTGCCCAGGGTCATGAGTTAGATACGAACACAACGCCAAACGAAAATGCAAAACATACAACCACGCAGATCTGCACACAATCATATAAATACAATAGATTAGCATTTCTGGAATTAAATCGGCAGGAATAAGAATATTCTACTACACTTGCGCCAAACTAAATAAGCGTCAACTAACGTTAAATAATGGCCATATAAACATTCACAAACATACAAACTAGTGCCAGCGTGTTACAAAAGAAGAGGTCTTGATAAAAAGTAAACATATCCATATTATCGGCGAGGAATATACACATATGCAGAAAGAAGAGTGGAAGGGAGGGAAGGAGGAAAGATATAACATGTTTAAACGATGGGGGG